GGCGCCCTACTCCTTTGAGCCACAGACGCCGCCCCGCCTGTTTCTTTTAAAGGACTCGGCTCTGCAAGTTTCTTGTTTACTGTTAAAACAATTTAAATGCAGTGTCTTAATATTTTTAAATACTTTTAGAAGGCAAAGTAAAAACAATATCTTTGTTCCTCTACTGTTGCCCAAGTCCCCAGCATCCCAGAAGTAGAGGATCCTGAATACTGAGGTGTAAGAGTACCCCAAGACCCTACGGAGCAGGGGAGCAGTTTCCTCCTAGGGCAGCTTCCAAGGTGGATGGTGGGACTGCGGCCGGGCAGTTGTGGGTCTGGTTGCGAGCCGTCATGGGACGTGGGAGAACAGTTGGGAGACGGGTTAGCGCTTGGCCGGTGACCTAGCGGGGCGGGTGGGCAGAGTGCCTGAGAGGGCGGGAGGAGGGCGGCGGCCGGGATTGGCCAGCCGAGAGGCGGCGCCCGCGGGTGGCGACAAGAACTCCGCGCAGCCATGGCCGCAGCTGCCCGAGCCCGGGTCGCGCACTTGCTGAGGCAGCTGCAACACGCATCGTGAGTTCGGGGCCGGGGGTGGGCCGAGGACCGCGGGGTGCAGCCGTGCCCACGCAGTGCCCCTCTGGTCACTAAAAAAATTGGGGAAGGGGATAATGCCGTGCGCCCGATGAGACAGCCGCGCCAGTGTGCAATGCCACTTTGTGCGAGGCAAGGTTTGCTCTGCTTGGCTACTCTGAAGGAAACCAAGGCCAGAGAAGACAATGCCTGGCCCCACATTGCGGCAGGCAGTGGAAGCTATGCAGGGTGGCCAAGTCAAATTCATGTATCCAATTGACAAATATGTGTCGGGTGTATAGTTAAGTGCTAGGCCCTATTCTAGGTTCTGGCCATTCGAAAATGAAAGTTTCTGGAGCGTTTAAATCTAGTGGGAAATGGGATGAGGGAACAAAAGTATGAGAGGAAGATGAATATGAGAAATCACATGGAGCCATTCCCTGGCAATGCCATGATATGCCTGGATCCCTCTCCAGAACGCCAGCTACATAGTAGTCACCTGACAAACAGTTAATTGTGCACTTTGCACAAGCCAGGCTGGAAAAACAGGGAAGGAGGAAAAGAGACGGTGGAGACAATTTCAGGCAGAGGGAAGAGTGACATCAGAGATGGAGAGATCTAGTTCTAGGATGGGAGAGTATTTGGACCTACCTCCTTAGGAGGTGAGGACCAAGACAATAGCTGGTGAAAGACC